TAAGTGCGACTTCCACTTCTTGAAGCTCTTTTGTAGGTCTGAGAGTTCCGGTTTGACTTGATCGCCTCTATAATGATATATGCTAATATTGTGTGGAAATTTTCTGCCCTTAGGTTTGGCACAGTTCTTGCAAATCCACATTTGACTCTGGCTGTGGCTAACAAAGTGCGAAAATTTTCCTACTGTTGTGCAATTATTTAACCAAGTAAACTGAATTTAATGCTCTGACTGAACCACTCAGTTAGTTGTTGTGCTCCGCTAAAGCTAGCAGACTTCCGACTGCTAACGTCTCATAACTCTTAACCCGCATTTATAATCAATGATGTACATGTCAACCCTACGGCTGCGAACCATTGGGTGGTCTTATTAATGACTTCACTAATCAATTGCAATTGTTTATCTCCGATAGCTCCGTTTAAGGTGTTAGCCTTAGTAAAATCTTACCTTTTCCCGGTTTTCTCTCCAGTTTAAATGTCTTGTTCTGAAGCCGATAATCTGTTTAACTTCTCATTAGTAAAGTCGTAATCGCTCGTTGCGAATTGTTTGCTTCCAACGCAGCCGAACCCGCTGACATTCTAGCATGGAAATGCGTACGCATCCCCCGGGCATGTGGTGTTCATACCGATACTTGTGTTCTTAGTGTTTCAGACTTATCCAATTTCGGCTATAAAGAGAATTGATGTCTATTAAGGATTCGCTTAATGACTGCATGCTCTCTTAACAAGAGTACTCAAAATAAACTCCAGAAGAGGCTTATTTTGTAACTCGCAATATCCAGCGACGTTCGATGCCTCCCACCTTTAAAGCCACTCGCCGTCTTAACATTTTTCTTTAGTCCATAATTTTAGCATTTCACAGTCGTAGTTTCTTAAGGCACAATAATCACCGTACTTTTCGCTATCAAATTTTAACGATTAAACCTACATTTAAAAGATATGGATACGGAGACTCTTTTGGTAGAAATGCATTAGGTGGAGGTATTGCGAAACGTGGTTCCGTCAGTCTGCAACTCTGTGGACAGGAGGGCTGCTGAGATGAGTGGATTGAGCGCAGAGGTGTGAGTGTGTATATGGCAGTCCGTTAGTTTTTCGGGTAATTTGAGATCACAGTTGAAAGACGCTCGAGCGCTGTGTGGAGAGCAAAATAACGAAAAAGGAGGTAGGCAGGAGTAATGGAGGGCGGGTGGGTGAGGAGGGGGGATAGGTATGTACAGTTTGCCTGGGTGGCTCGGAACTTCTTAGTATCAAAAGGAGGCGGTTCCACTTATGAAGGTGGTGCCACCAACATAAAGAGTAAAAGGCTATGCAGAAGCACTGTCCACGCAACCAGCCATGGGGACAGCACTAATGGACCTGACGCACCCCGATCTGAGGCTAATTCCGCAAAGAACCCTAAAGGCATAAAATAAATAGAGAACTCAGGCATCGTACTTAAAAAAATAATAAAATTTGGATTTTTTTCCCAAAACAGAAGGCTGCACTTTACTATTGCTCATTTAAATGGACTCAGCACATGAGACTGGTTATTTTGATCAGAACACGTTAGAAAGTCACCCGTATTAGTAAAAGTGACACCTTTAGGCAATTAGGCAATTGAATAAGGCAATAAACGCAACGGCCGCGTAAGCTACAGTTCGATAACGAGTGGAGACACAGAGACCACCAACGGTCGCTAATACGGGGTTTGTGTACAACAATACTATAGTCCGAGGATTTTGACACGTTTGCAGCACAACTAAAGGATTCTCGGTGGCTTTTGTTTGCAGTAACTTGTGTTTATTATAGTGGACTTCACAAATATGCAGATCCAAGAAAATTATGATTAGAAGACTACTTCAAAGTGGAATTCTCAATTAAAAAACTTGACTTATCTACTCTTTTCCAAACCTCAGGCTCAAGGCTATTTTATAGTGGTTACATTGACCATTTACCTAAACTAAGACACTTAAGTCAGCCTAAATTCCCCTGTATTTTCTAGCCATATTCCCCCCGAGGATCATATAACATCGTAACTTGCAGAATTTTAAACAACCCTTCATCGCCTTATTCAAGTATTCCAAACTCTCAGACTTAGCTGCACGGCTCTCCCTACGTTCTCTAAATAGTCTATTGCAATATTCAGCGTATCGCCTTAATCAAAGGTACACGACTGCTTTACCTCCAATCTACACCACGCATCATGTATGGATCTAAAAAGTGGTATCAAGGCAGCGCTCTCACGACTGAAGATTTACGAACAAGGTGATGGGCGTTCTACTTAAGGGAACAATAGGTAAGTTCAATCTCAATTTACAGCCGACTTTCGAACTTACCATTTGTACGTCCACTGCTGTGGAAATCGTCGTCATGGGTGGAAAAATAGTGAACAGCAGGAGGGCTCTCCCTTTCGACCCCGAAATCTGTCCCACCAAGGGTCTGAATTCGTACGATGTAAAAGGTTCGTGGTCGCAGACGTGGGAGGATTAGTGATGTCTGATTCTGAAAATGTTAATAAGGGATAAAGTACTTAAAAATGAAGAGGAGTAGAGATAACGATAGAGAATTTAGCTAGGCGATTTCATACAAATGCACTCTTTAGTTGATTATTTGAAATGATAGGTTGCAAATTCCAGATGGATTTGTTTTAACCTTTAAAGGACTTGATTGGAACCATATTTTATCTTTCTCCTTCTGGAAGGATCTTAGACAAGCATCATATATATTCATATTCTCTTTAGTTTAGTTTAAATCAGCTCATTTGAAATTTGGGATGGCGCCTTGAATAGCGCTTAGAGATTGGTTAAAGCTCAATATCAAACCTCAGACCGAGTCAAAATAACGACTTATGCAATAAAACGTACGATTGAAACTTTACTTGATTGACAAACATCCATTTCATCGGATGAAATTAAATTTCAACCTTTTGATCATTAAATCGCTATGAAAGCCACTAAGACGAACTCAGCCCTTCAATTAAAGGATCGATGAAAAGAGTAAAAAGCTTGCGATCTGAGCCGCAGCATCTGACCCACTTTATCAAGGACACGGACGTCAGAGTGTTGGAGATCGGGAATGGGACTGAAGCCAGCCTCGTCGTTGTACATGGAGGCGTCCACAGGCTCCTCCTTGCGCGGCGCCAACATTACGCGGTAGCGAGTGAAGGCGGTTGACGAGGCTGCGGCGCTGGCAGGGTGGCTGGTGCCACTCGGCAACACTGCTGCAGACGCTTTTGTCGGCAATGGAGGGCGCCAGGAGACCTGGTAGTCCAGGCGGTCGTAGCTCACCAACTTAACCTGGATGTCTCGTGGTGGCTTCGGTAGTTCGGGTTCTGAGAGATGACATGAACAACAGGGGGTGTGATTTAACGTAAATTGAGAAATGAATGCTTATTTGCTATTGGGGATTAATGTCTGACGGGTGGGCAACTTGAGTCGTACCACAGATTACTGCTTTGTGGTTGTATGTTATGTTGATCTTTTCGTTTTTAAGAATTTGAAATGCGACACCGACGTGTAAAAGAACTAACCGTACGCTTCCGGAAGCGGTTATTTTTCAAACTCTATATGGAATCAAAAAAGCACCAATAAAAAATTTTAGGTCAGGTCTGCAAAGCTATCAACACCTAACCCACGTATGAAAATGAAATATGAACTGGAGCAAAGAAAACGGAGAAAAGACCTTATGAGAATCTCGGATTAGAAAACGCAAACCACGATCTGTGAATTCATCGAGGGGAGAATATTTTGCGGTTCATTAAATGTCAAACAAATTTCTACCTTTTTCGTGAAAGAATAGCAAATTGACTTTTATGTTTGAACGCCTTGCAGATGAAGTAGGGCGAATAACATAGGCAAACCCGATTTGCATCTAAACAAAAGATGCTGAGGAAAATAAAACTGGTCTGGACTGCAGGCCAATGCTAAAACAGTTTGGCTACAAGAACGTTTAAACATTTCATTGCAAGAAAACCATTTTTTGCATAGGATTTGAAGATCTCGATCTAAAGAATTTAATAACAGCATAGTACTTAAGGCGCTAAACCTGTGGTAGAACGATATTTTTCCGAGTTGCCACTTCAAATACGTGGGTTCTTCAGTCTCCGCAAGTTTAGATCACCATCTAAATGCCATGACCCTTAAGCCATGCTATTTCTACCAACAGCTCACCAAATCCTCTGTCAATTTAGGCTCACCTTGTAATGTTTTCAGACAGAACTCGGACGTTACATATTCATCCATTTGAAGGGAATATCTGAAGCAAAAGGGCACTAAATTGCAGTCTCTTACGCTTATCCATCGCTGTCCTTTTAGCAAGATCCTGAACACAACACACCTTTTCCCTATATTTTCCTTGCTGGAAGATACATCTCCGTTAGAAATGATTACTTTCCCAAAGCGGTTGAGTAAATATCCAGCACCTAAAGTTGTGCCAAAAAATTACGTGCCAAATTCTCCAAAATGAATTATTAAACAAATGATTCGGGGTAAGAGTGTCAAACGCTAAACGGTAACTACCAGTTCGGGGTATTTATTTAAATATTTAACAAATACTCCATCCTCTTTTCATGGTCAGAGAAAAAGTCATTCCTTTAGGAATTATTGAGAAATAGAGTTAGCAATGTGTTTTGAAAAATAAATCCTATGGTGTGAAAACCTGAAAAAAAACACCATATATTTGCTGTTAAGACTGCTTAAACAAGCTTGAAGGATGGGTTCAGCTGAAAAAAAGGCCATTTTATAAGATGGGTGGACAGGAAACTCGAAAAAAACCTTCATCACTGCTAAGGGGGAACACAACTAGTGGACGGTTGCGTTAAATGAATCAAGGGAATATTTAAGTAAGGATGAAGTAGGCGGAACTCAAGAGTGCTATCCCTTCTCCGAAAGCGGAAGAAGATCACTCTCTCTGTTGTCGCTTTTGAATATCCCCTAGAATTTTGTTGACCCATTTCAAATTTACAGCGGGGTAAATTACGAATACACTTTGTTTTATCAAAAATTTCCAAAAAAATTAATTAAAAGGTCTTTGGCAAGTTTATCAAATCAGCTCGGCATTGTCCGGAAAAAGATTGCCATTTCTCCAAAGCCTGTGTTACGATGAATTTCTGCAATAACTTTCAAGCGTTATTGCACGTACATTTACGTGGTATTTTTGCCATCGCTGTTTAAAACCCCTTTTGAAACTACCTTGATCTGGCGAACCGCTTCCGAATACAATTTTGCGTACACCTCAGGAGGCGACGAGGTGCGGCATGTTCACACCTGTGTCAACTTTGTTTAGTCTACTACGGCATACATGATATGATCAAACTGTTCACGTCTGCGGGCTTCTGGACATTCCGCGCTAACAGAACAAAGTAAACCGCAAGTCTCCTTCGATGAATCAAAGCATTAACATATGAGAGGATACAGCAATGATGGCATTTTAGCACATGTAATTTGAAAGAACCATCACCTTTTACCCCTAATTAGTAGTCATTTTGCACTTTCTGGACGCCTTTTAAACTTCATGTTTGAGAACACACTTTTGTCGACCAAAACAATAGCTCATTTCCGGAATTGTCGTTTTGCATTTATTAAAACCGCCTTCAAAGAAGGCTGTGTGGAAGGATCACATCCCTTGGAATTCCTTTCAAGGAAGCATAGCAATTAACTCAAAAGGCTCAGATTAGGCGTAATATGAACAAATTGAGTCATAACTTTGGAAAATCACAGCAATTTATCGCATATCTAGCAGGTGGCTTGCGTTGATACTTTTAATAAAAATGCTTTTTAGGTGCTTTAGGCGCGTTGACAGTTAAAGCAATGAATTTCCTTATGATTGCGACAGAGGTGGTGTTAACAGTGATTGGGGAGAATCACAAGAAAGTAGTTCCCTTCAATACTTTGCAAAATTTTACAAAATGCTTTTCACAAAACTTTGAGGCAGATTTTTAAATGACACCTAATCCAGCAAACCATTTTTACAGGAACGTAACTTGTAAATGTTTGCTTAGACCATTCACAGCACATCTGGGGTCTTCCACACCATTTTGGTCGTGGCATTCACACCATCTCTTCAAGCCCCCTTTGTTGCTGCTACTAATCTAACCGTTATTAAGAGATGCCATTCATCAATTTATGAGTGGTTTAAAAGAGGAATTATACTCCTTGACAGTTAGTCTCCTTACGAGTCCCATGAAATTTTCGGAGAGCGATTCCAAAAATCTTTATTTCCACGAATTTATTTCTGCCTAGTTTACAAACCACAAACTCGATTTCCATATAATTTTGAATGGATTGTAAACCAATTCGAGGAAAATTTCCGGTGTATGAAAAAAGTTTAGAGGAATTTCTCAAAAGACAAATCAAAAGCTAATTTATAACAGTCAAAATAACCTCCATTTTTAGAAAAAAAGTTTTTCATATTTTAACGAAAGTCCACCTCTTTTTGTAAATGTATTTTCGAGGTGATCACCATGAAGAAGTTGATATTAACTGTAATTCGCTGTTTTTGCATGATGAAAATCAGGAGGGCCTGCACAACAGTAGAGGTGGCACTGACGGTGATGAGAACGGCTTAACGGGAACCTTCTGCACTGACAAAAGGAGTTTTTAGAGATATTTTGTAAGTTTTCAAAACAGATTTTGGCTTTCCAAAGAAAATGGTAAGAGTAAATTCGGTTATGGGGAAGGAGATTTTTAAATTCTTAAAATTAGGCAACTAAAGAAGTACTCTACAATCTGTTAGAAGATGCTGTGGCGAGCAGCTGTGGAGAAGGACATTTTTTTGTGTAAGATGACAATGAAAACAACCCTACTAGCACATAAGAATTGTAGAGATGTGACGCTGGTGATATGAAAATAAAATCTTGGAGATTCACTTCTTAATCAAATTCATAGGAACTTACAATAAACAATAGGAAAGAGACTCATGGAAAACATCCGAAATGTACTTCAATAAAATAAGAAACAGGTTTTACAAATGGCTAAATGTATTACGAATTTACAGTCGCAAAATTACATCCCATTCTAGTGAAAATCGCTAATAGTCAATGTCAATTTTGAACTTATTAACACGATGGTTACACATCCCGACGAAAATGAATGGAGAAACAAAGTGGAAATAATTGGTGTCCTTTTAGAATGACAGAAGACTTGGACGATGGTGGTTTAATTTCCTCACCTCATCTGGTTGTCTAGTGCGCTAAACTACTGTGTCTGATGCTCTTGGGAGAAGACGAAGACTCACCGGCAGCAGGGCAATCGATGGGCTCCGTACTCCAGGCGGTTTTGGTCTCGCGACAGGAGCGAGTACAGAAACACCCAGCCACCACGTCTCCCGCAGCCCCACTTGACAAAGAAGACGCAGACGAGGGGTTGGCTTTGACAAGATGACGCTGCTCGTGTTGTTGTAGTGACTCAAAACGTAAGCGCACGTCAGCTGCCTCCTCTGGCGTGAGTCGCACCACGTAGACACAGTTGAACTTCAATTTGGTCAGTCGAAATATCCGACTCTGTGATGGGTAAATCAAAATCCCTAGATATTCTGCTTTTGCAGCTTAGAGATTTCATGAACTTTTACCTTACTGTTTTTGCCTGGATTATGAATTATGCATATTACTGTGTGATGAATCACTCCACCCAAATTCACTCTGGCCATGCAGCTCCACTGCTAATCCCGGACCCGTCTTTACTAACAAGGTAATTACAACCACCAGACTTTGGAAACAACCAGTTAGAGCAATTCAGGCATCGAAGAATCAAAAAAGTTTCAAATGTTACATTAATTGACGCCATAAGACAAGTTGTAAAGTTCCACGGAAAAAACGGAGACTACTTGGTCTGAAGAACTGAGTTGTGGTGACTTACAAGGGGTTTGGTAAAGGCTTTGTCTGCTTTTGTATGACCCTTGCCCCACTTTATGCTATGAACAGTGACGAGGCACAACTGACTCGTTCAGCTACTCATGATTCTTTCCTATTGATCATGATAAATGTTTGTCCACATAAGTTTTGCTAGTTCTGTATTTCAAAGCAAGTAGGAAAAGCACTAACTTGCAAACTAACTAAATCTTTTCCTTTGCAATTAAATCACGTTTCCCTTCTAAGCAAATCGGCTTTCCCTTCGGGCACGCCGTACTTTGTTACGTCGTCATCTTTCCCGGTTTTTCTTAGGCTATTGCTGTAAATATTAAGAATTCACATATTCGCAAGCCAGTGAGAGTATCAGCACTACATGTTTGAACTAATAAACACGCAAATATGGCATGGGGGGAAGGTGAAAAAAAGCATAATTTTACCATTCCAAAACCTCGTCTCACGTGTAGTGCAACGTCGAGATAGCGAACTGTGAACGACAACCGACCAATGTCAATGGCGATAGTCAATCCACACCCACGCGATAGACAATGCTATTTTGCACGTGATTGTGAAAAAATCACATCGAGTTCCACCACGGAGTGGAACCAGTTCTACTATTTTGGATATTTAGGGGAAAGTAGGGATGAGATTTTGTTACTTTATACCATTAAATCTGGAGGATAAGTAAGCCGAGTGTTGGGATTGTTAAGTAACTACTAGAAAAAAAGACACTACAGGACGCAAGCGCTTTAGAATTTGTACGCAAACTTGATTATAGCAAAGGTCAAAAACTGATTATTTGCTGCCTTTTGTCGTAATTACCCAGACGTGGTATGTTCGCATTTACTAAAGAGATCTGTTAATTCCATTATTTATTCATAGAGTTCATCTAGAGCACAAAAATATTTGAGAACCCTGCATTGTGTCATTAAAAGGCCACTTTTAACACCCAAAAGTGGAACTACTATGAAATCTCTCCAAGCGAAATGAGTCGTGATAGCATTCTCTAAGAAGAATTCTAACTTTTCAAAGTCTCATCTAGCTTGTCGTCATTTTTGAAATAGTCTCAATGAGTCGAACCCCCACTTAGGATTTATATAAATCGGACAAATAGAGGTGACACGCACAAGGACTGCGTCGTTGGAATAATGGACTCGCGAGGCTGTCAGTGAAGGGGGTGAGGGAGAGGGCATACCACAGCTCACTCGGTCCCCCCCTCTCTCCCCCCTTTCCAAAACGCAATCTCAGAGTGTTGGCACATTATACGCAGAAGGCGTTCAAAATTAGCATTTATGAAGAGAGAAAAGGAACTCGCTCTATCTCCAGCTGTGCTAAAAAGCACTAACATGAAATGTTTGATATTATATGCAATTTCAGTATGAGAGGACAGCCGTTAAGTAAGAAATACCCTATCTTTATAAGAAGTCTTTATCTCAGCTTTGAATTTGGCTATTCTTAAATTTGTTACCTTTGTTACGATGCTTCATTATTTCAAGTTCATGTGAACGTCCTTCTGTTCGACTCACTTAGAAAAGTTTCAGGAAGCTTTGTTGAATCAGCTAACTATTATAAGCCATATTATGCTAATTAAAACACCGATCGGCAAATGAAGTACCAACAGAATGAAACAACAGCAAGCGGGGGATTTGAGGGATTCTGTTTTTAAGAAATAATCACTCATAAAGGAGACCAGAGTTAATTTATGGTGGTATCATCCATGCTACAGCGGAGTTTCAGCTAACCCTGGGAATGTGCTAGGACTTTATAACAGGATAGCATTTTTTCGGTGCATCATTGGTTGTGTGAGTCTTGTAAATCTCTTGCGACTCGATTTCCTGCTTATGCCACCATGTCCAATAGACCGCACTTATACTAAAAATCTGTTGCCAATCCTTTGAAATAACTGAAAAGCTAGATAAATTTATGAGGGAAGCGGAAAACTTACCCTAACCGTAGCTGTAATAACTTCACTGCCAGTGTTCACTGAATGTATGGAACCGGTAGCAGCATTGATGGCAGTAGGGTAGGAAACAGCAGATGTTAAAGTAGGCGCATTCTCAATGGACTCAATACAGACCTGCGGGAACCACTCAATACGATAGCTTTGTGTGTCCATATCTGTGGAGGAAACGATAGTTTGAACAAATGGGCTGAGGAGTGGCAGGGAAAAACTCATCTTCCCATTTAATTACTGCCTAACTTCCGGAGTTAGGATACTAATAGAAAAGAGGAACACGGAGTAAGAAGGCCTGGATGAAAAGGAGGTCCCTTGTGAATGGGTAGGCAGAAGTCATGGCTACGATTAGAGACCTTCACGAAACCTCCTTAACGAGATTCCAATGACTCGCTACAACTCACATTTAAGAATAAATTTACACAGTTCTAGTGTGGAGGCTAGGTACTTGGCTCGCCTTTTCTCCTTAAGTAGTTTCTGTTAACATCCTTGATGAGTTGCTGGTTTGACAGATGATTGTCAGATTCAATTCATCAGTACCTCACGAGTTAAAAGTTCCATTTTGCATAGGTTTTAACTAACTGAAGTGATTCCAGATTAATTGGTACCCACAAAAAAATATCAATCATTTCGACAACAAAGTTGATTTCGAATTCCATTATAACAATGAGAAAAGGGGTACATGTCGGAAAATATTGTGCAAATTGGGGTCCATTTTGAATCACTTCAGTCATTTCTAATTTCACAAACCACTTTTTACTGACGTTATATAGTTTAGTCGTCACACAACTAACTAGTTAATTCATAACGTCGAAATTGAACAGCACAATCCCAACATTACCAAGGACTACCTCATAGACTGTGACGGAAAGGAACAGCTTGAAATGGGGTGCTGATCATTAATGGTCTACTGTAGAAACACTGCAAAAATAAATCTTACTAATGTAAGAACCATCGATAGACGATTTTGTAAGATCCTAGTAAAAACGGACTCCAATAGTCTGTTTGGAAGATAAGTTAATAGACCAATTTCTAGAATAACTCACGGGAAAAAGATTTCAGTTGGACAAGAGCAGTGAGATCTCCATTGAATACCTCGGGTGGTTTTATCTCCAATCGTTCGTCATTCCTCGTCAGGCCACTGCATCTGCAAGTACTACTGTCATCGCTGTAGTTGCCATCATAACTATCGCCATTATTGCCACCATGAGCAGCTGCTGTTGGTAAATCTATATGCAAAAAAATTGGGGAAATGCCTTTTGCGTGTGTGGGATATGATAAATTCCACAATATGTACGTCTGATTTATCTGGCGATAATAACTACTGCCAGAACAGCAATGCGGTTACACTTTGATAGCTGAGATACGAATTATTTAGCTGGATATTTTAGGAGGGAGACTCAGGGGTAGGGGTTTGAGCTTCACACGCCACCGCTGCCATCTGATAAAAAAATACCGCAACGAGTGTGAGTCAGGGTGAGAGAAGTGGAAGGGGGGAAAGAGGAAGCTTACGTTTGACGTTCTCGAAAGCCATGTTCTGCTGACGATAAGGTGGTAAAAGGGACTGCGTGGAGATGAAAAAGTTGTGTGGAAGCGACTGAAGATTGCCCTCATCATGGAAGTAGTTTGCCGTGACCTGTGTGAGAATGAGAGGGATCAATAAGGGCGGATTTGACGAAGAAAATAATGATTGTGATTAATGAGACAAGCTTAACCCACCTGAACTTTGTAAGAGGATCCGGGGCGAAGAGAATTTATCGTGATTTCAGAGTCCTTCTAACGAATGAAACAGTCGATATAAAAGTATTTTCAGATATCTCACGACTGAGAAACTTACTTTTATTCAGTCATTCATCCTTAGTAAAACACATTTTCACTTATTTCCTAGTGTTTGTTAGGATCTTGCCCCGTTTTTATTCTAACAATAGCAAGGAAGCGCTTCAACAGGTTCGTAGCCATTTGGGAATTCTAACAAAATATTGGGAATCCAACTTATGGTACATAAAACCCTCTTTGGAAGAAAGTATCCATATTTTCACCAAGTAGATTTCTTCTCAAATTAAGTTCTATGGAATCAGAAACTGGTTGATACCCCCATCCTTTTTTAAATCGACTGTATGAACTTTAGTCTCAAAAAATTAGCTGCTTATTTCCAGTTTGGCAAACGGGCGATGATTAGCACGATTACAATTTTGACCGAGACGGCTAACCAAAGGCAGTTGAATCCTTATCCCACCCCTTCAATCTCAGCACATTCACGTCTAGGCAGAACCGATCAAACTACCCTGTCCCTGTTTTGTCACCTTTTAAGCAAATTTTAATTTAAAACAGTTTTCACAGCCATACGCACATGGTGACAAATAGGAGAATGGATGATTTATCAATGAGACGTTGCGTTGATCGTTTCATCTGACTTACGGTTTGAACACTTTGCATGAAAGGAGCGCTGAGATCTTTCAGCGGTTTACCGCTGGTGGGGGTTGGGTAGCCTCTATCTAGTGCCCATGAAACCTGCAGAAATAAGAAAATGGGATTTTAAGCCAGATTGTCTGTTCAAGGCAAACAGTTTATAGGGTAATTGGGAAGGTAATCAACACAAACCACGGAGAATCTGCAGAACAGAACGATGTTCTAAAGTTATTTTTTCCAAAATTCGAATGAAGTTAAGCAATTTCTTTCGAAAATTTGAATTCTAGAGTTTAATGAAAAATAGCGGTCTTCGAAGACTGCGTAAATTAGAGGGATTGTTGGGAATTCTTTTGAGTAGCCCTCATTTTAGAGAAAAAAGTAGAAGTGAAACACTTTCCCATTTCACTTGAAGCTCTTGGTACGAAGAAATTTTACATGAAGAAGGTGATAACATGATGGAATGTGCTTTGAAACCATGTATTTAACCCAAACTGTTGGGTCAACCATTTTACCGAAACATCACCTCCCTTGGTGTTGCAACACCGAAAATTCGTAAAAATATATGACTGTTATTGGCCGCGACTGATTCATGAGGACGATTCTGCTGCAGCAAAGAAGTCATCCCAACTTTATAGGCCAACAACTGAATACTCCGAACACAATGGGCTACTTCTAAGCTTGGGTTGATAAGGGTGGTTCCTCCCAATGGTATGCTTAAAGGAAGCCGTTGCCCGCCCTACCTTGAGCACGTGGTACAGTCCCACTAGGGAATGGCCAACTTGGGCAAAAAGGTATTTTGACACCGGGACACAAAAGCAATGAAGATCTGTCAAAATACGTTTTAGGTTGAATTTGAATTTGGTTGTTAATAGGGGAACTTCTCTGTTCCTTTCCAGATCTAACTTGTTTTGAACACCACCGCCGTTAATCACGAAAAGGTCATACCTCCTGGCTACTAGAAGTCGTTCGTTCGATTTACCGAATTCTCTATTTACCAATTCCCTCCTCTTTTACCATAAAATTTTGCTTCTGACTGTTAAAAACATCACCGATGGTCTTCAATGCCTTCTTCATAGCAGGTAGAAGGAAATTAATTCACATTTTCTAGCTACGTTTTTCAATCAAAAACAGGATTCAACATATAATAAACTTTTCAGCCTATTACCAGTTAATTAAACCATATTAAAACGCACGCCATCAGTGAATGGAATAAGGGAATTTATCACTGGATTCTGCAAAAAAAAAACGTAGAAATCGACAGCTCAAACACAACCTTAGCCGATAAAATGATCATCCCTCCCCTAAAATACCTCTTCTTAATCCTCATCAGCATTAGCATGTGAATATCCTTTGCGAAGTAAATGGAATAGCAGGATTCCCAAAAATCCTTCAGACGCCCCATCTAGTCAATAAACGCACTTTCTATCTAAACAGTGTAAGTCGCTATTTTCGCAATTGACGATGAAACACGCAAAAGGCGTTGTAGAACACTCACCGAGTAATTGATGAGAGGAAGGTCGGTGGACTCAGGTTGGGTCCAGCTGAGACGCACGCTGACCTCCCCGTTGGGGTGGATACGCCACTTGGTGGCGGTGACATTGCGTGGCGGCTGGGGTTGCGACGGGCTGAGCGGATAGGGCCGGGAGGCCGGCCCAAAGCCCCTGCTGCCCTGTGTGCTTACTGCTGCCAGACGAAATTGGTACTTATGGCCGGGCTCGAAGGTGTCAACTGTTGCCTCTGTTTTAACTGCCTATTGGGTTGAGAAGCATTCTCTTTCAGGCTTCTCCCATCCAATTTCCGGGCTTTATTTATTCTCTTTAAGCAATTATGCATTGTTTGAATAGTTAGGTAAAAAATTACTGCTAAAACGTTCGTAGTTTGCAATATTTTTCTGTCTCTATTTAGTACACCTCGAAATGGTTATCCCCTTTAATCTGAGCTAATATTTCTCTGAAGGATTCTTTCTCTTAAGTGATCGGTATAAAATGCGCCCTTGTATTAGAAACAGTGTCTTCGTTACATCGATTTCAGTACAGGTTTCATACTCATACTTAATGCGATTTACAATGTGAAAACCGTTCGGAAGATGAAAATCATAAGTAGTGAACTGGAGCCAAAGGCAGCCAGAATGGGACTCACTGAAAATTGGACAATTTGTCGCTCGGTACGAAAGAATTCAAGTATCCATAAGGAAAAACGTTAATGGCTTTAAACGCTCTGAAGCAAATGCAGCAAGCCAAAACAACCGCCAGGTTATACAAAGTTTTCACCATTTTTCAACTTGATTAAAGTCTAACATCAAGAACCAGCTATTTATAGCTGAAACTGTTATGGCATTGACACCTGTTTTAATTTATGGCTTTCTTAACAAAATATGTTACAGTGTTAACCATAAGGAATTATTCGGCATGTCGATTGCTTACGGTCTCATAATCTTAGGGTGCCCTTTGTACTGTCAAGGCCAAGGAACACCGACTTCGAAGAAAGGCATCCACTCTTGATGCAGTTGGTAATCTCCTCAAACATCTTAGTAATGCAAACTGCTCATTCCTTCTATTTAGAGCACAAACGTAATAAGAGGGTCAGTAATTCTTCTAACAACTGAAAATTGGACTTTGAGTCCTTAGTTCGACAGCCCAAAAGTGAATTCAGAATAGAGCACACACCATGAGCAAGGTTTGCCAAGGAGAGGCCTGTTCCACATTGAAGCTTTTGCAGATGCAGAAACGCGTCTGCAGGATAAAGACAAGGGGCCTGTGGTCGCGACTAAAGTTGGCGTAGGTGCCGCCCCACGAGATCTGTATGGTGCCGGGTTTCTCCCGCACTGGCTGGAGAGATGGTCGTGGGGGCAGCAGCGGCACAGCCTCTGAGTATATTGGCTATGAAATGGATAATGATAAACTTCCATTTCAGCTTATAACAAGGATTACGGTAATTTTAGCTCGTTCTACTAGAATAGATTCAATTCGCCGATCCTACCCGACCCCATTGGTACAAAGGAACTCACCTGATAACATATCTGGGTACCTTCAGGTTAACCGCTTTAGTGTATTAATAAGCCGGCCCAATACCCATCTACATAACCGGCAATTAAATGCCCAAACAATTGGCAAAGGGTTGGCTGGGTCAAACGGGAAATGAGTGCTTTATCTCTATGTAAATCCCACTAATTGTGACAACTTGCTGTGAATTGTTAAAAATCGAAGCAAGGAAAATAAAGCAAATTATTTCACTGCTGGAAAAACACTAGTAGACGAAGTTTTATCATGGGTGATGAAACTTTACTTCACTTTGACTCCTCGAAGCGCGCTATCTGACGCAAGTGATGCACAGACACATTTGATGAGATCAGATTGAAGGCTAAATGATGACCTAGTACGATTCCACCGGATTAAAGTGACGCATTTAGCAGAACAGAATTGAGACTGGGGCTTTCATAACAGCTCCCATAGGGTGGTACTCACAAGTGGACTAGATACATCTTCAACCGAATAAAGAGGGACAGGCTAGAACTGGCGGCAAATTTTTTGACAGAATTCAATGTAACTTTTATTTTGACAAAGATGAAGCTAGTACTTTTTAAAGAAATTATGTAGCTTTGTTGTGAGCAGTTAATTTGCCACTTGAAAAAAAATACAATAGAACAACTTGAGATTAAAATTAATGCAAACTAGCATTTCGATCCGCAGCCAAATAACCAAAAGGAAATTTGAGCAAATGGCACATTTTTGATAAAACCGGACAACAATTCAACCGATTGATGCCCTCATAGTGGGACCATCATCAAACGTGAAATTGTCCAGTACCTACAGACAATACAGACACAGAAATTATGATTAGCACACTCCACTTGCGTATCAAACTAGTTGAGCATAAGTTTTCAGTTAAAAACACCAAATTTATTAGTGTTCCTTTTAAGATCAACGGGTGAAAAAATGACCTTATGATCGCATTGCAGCTGCTAAGTAAACATAAATCAAATAATTTATGAATAAATGAATTTGATGGTTTTTGGTGGAATTTTTGTACCTAAGTAATCGAACGTCTCAAAAATGCAAGCGCGAATTTTTAATACAAAATGGCACCAAAGAGCTGACCTTACACTTAAATATCACTAAGGTTTTCAGACACACATTTCCGAAGCTGCGGCTACAAATTTGTCAATCAGTAAGGAAATCCTGGTATGACCCACAGCAGAACAAATAATTAGCCCAAATGGCTGATTCTTAGCAAAATTTGCCATAAAAGTATGAAAAAAGCGAAACCATTTATTCACGCGTTTAAGGAAATTATTCCTGTTTTGCGTTTTGGAGTTCATTTATTTCCAGGACAAGCGTATTTACCACATTTCTTACCCAATATTTGGAACTTTAAAAAGAAATACATCGATAGAGCTTTCTTTTCCTTAGCGTTCATCGCTTAGGCAAAACATTTTCTCCGATCTTTTTCTACCCTCTTCCCCCCTCCCCTGGATGGTAGGACTTCTTACCATGGTGCAATTTCGATTGCAGCCGAAGGCGCAGCATTTTTGCAAAGGATGGAGACAGGAGGCGTCGTCAACGCAAAGCTTGCGACAGAGGGGCGAATGGAGGCGGAAGAGGCCCGCTTCCTCCCCACTTGCCGGCACGCCGGGGATGGGGCACTCGCCTGGACGGTTGTTGTGGATGTCAGTGAGGAGAAGGCAACCCAAATGGCAGCCTACAGAGTCCACGCGCCCGATCTGTCAAGATATGAAGGAAAAAGTGCAAGTTAAAACTCCCAAGTATTGAGAGCACTGAATTTGCTGCTAGAAATGTGCTTCTGAAGACATGAACACGGAGACTCTAAAACTCACTGGACAAATTATAAATGGTTTACCTAATAACCGAAATGGGCCCTCATTTACGCCCTCCGAAGTGAGTGGAAATTTCTATCCATACTAGCTAAATCTAGATTTTTGCTGTTTTTGATAATCAAAATTTATAAATCAGTCGTAAATGCACCGAATGTTTTGCTATTATTAAACGTCCAACCACATTACCGGATCTATTGTCTAGCTTAGCTCACGAAAAAGATAAGATAGCCAGAGGCTCACGTATTTGCTAATCAAACAGTGCCGAATCCGGTTTTTTGGTTTTACTGCTGCTGAATTTACTGCTACCTAGTACATACCTGCCTTCCCGGAAATGATTGGGGAAGCAGAAGGGCAGAAGGATCTAGTAGACAGACTAAAATCTTCCACTTGAATTCAAAGTAGACCCACTTACTTCTAATTCGTGAAGAAACCTGGGATTACCTGTCACGAATACATTCGAGAATTCTAGCTCAACGATAAGTAAGGCGTTCTCGTGTATGATGCAAATAAAGCATATTTTGTTTTTGTGCTTAAGTTCGCAATACCTTAGAGCTGAGCCAAATCTTATCAACCCCCACAGTTCTTTAAAGGGGATGATTAGTGAGCCCGTAGACAATCGAGGCAGTGACTAGATTGTAATATGTGGATTTTGGTTGAGCCAAAATTACACCTCTGATTAAATCACTCCGCTAAAATTATCCATTCTCCCGACTCTTCTTCCATGTTTCAAAGATCATAAAATTAAAAGGATGTTGCAGGTCCTGTTTTCCAGGATAGTTTGAAGTAGAAGACAGTTTCACCTCCTAATGAGACTATCTGACACCACCCTAACACAAATAGCCCAAGCGAATCAGGGTACCCCTCACGGTGGGTGGCTTGTTATGTACCGTCTTCTCCCTTCAAAGTTTGTTTTATTACGCCATTTGAAGGGTCAGAAGAGGTCAGGGTAAATTTGTGCGTCCTAGTAGAAAACGCAATTTTAGAAGGATTTTTTTTCAGAGTGGAACAAAGAGCACATTAAAAGAGAGTCGGATGTCGTCTCGCGGCTATCAGACTAACAACGGTGGGAAACCAAATTTTGGAAGGGAAGGGGCGATTAGATGAATCCCCCAACCTCAAATGGTCACGTAGTTGTCTGGCCTGTGTGCGAGAAAGTACGCGGGTGGGGCAGTTTGTCAAGATGTCAGTAAAATTTATAGCACCAACGTCCCAGAACTATTCCACATCTCATGTGGACCGGTCCGAAGTGGGAACAGAGACAACTCCTCTCGTGAGCTGCGGGACAATTAAGCAAAAGCGACGCCTAGCAGGTCGTTCCGATCATCCAAATTAGCTACTTATGCTTGAACTGTGATGTGGTACCTAAACGTATGCGAATTCCCCAGTTGCATATAGGAATTACTTCTGATTTCGAGTCTAGGATACCTTTTTATAGTTTTCATTATAAATTCGCGGACACTATTAGATGTTGTGTTATCCACTTTACGTGTTATTTTACGACGTGTTAACAAAAGCACGCTTGAGCCGCCATGTTTGCACGTCCTGAAAGACAAGAGAGACATCCATTGTGGGCGATTTCTTCCATCAAAACTCAGCTCTACGCCCCCAAATACGAGGGGAGGGAGAGTAGGGGGAGGAGCTGTTGAGTCAGCCATAGCCACAAGATAACATCTCAAAAGAGGATGACTAAACTGCGCAAAAGCGTGAATAGGACGAGAGTCCAATTGTCTTGCGGTAGAAAACTGAATGATCGGCAGCCTTTTGCATTCTGTCTCTTAAATCGCAGATAGGTTATAAACATGTGTTGGTCAGCCGATCGTGATTCGATGTTGCATAGTGTCATTCAACCATCTCCACAACTTCATACTTATTCACATGTATACGATTGGTGTTTCATAAGTTAAATTTGCTTATTCCGGTTGAAACATGGAGGGCGGTAGACCTACACCTGCAAGCGCAAGTTGTGATTGAAACATTAACATCCAAGTAACCTGGGGACCCTAGACGGATTCGCTAGGAACAGATAAATGAGAAATAGTTTTGAGCTTTTCAAATTATTACAACCTCAACTTAAATGACAGACCTCAACCAAGTTGATTTTTTCGAAAAAGTGTGATAATATTTCATATAAAAGGAACCTAGTGTCATAAGCACACTGAATGCCAGTTGTTAAAGCTTAGCGTTTGACGACCTAGCAGGCCCCACAAAACAGTTCTTCAAAGTGCTCGTTCTGGGGACTGTAGTTAATGGAGTGAGGAAAAGTCACAGTTTTTCCCACTGGGCCTATAGATAAAGCTGGTAATAACCACACAGCAGAAATTGAATTTTACCAGATCTACTTGTACATTAAGGAAAAAAGTGATGACTTTTACTAACGCTTACCGAGCAAGTAGATTGGCAGTGGCTGGGAGGCTCGTCACAGGCGGAGAAACACTAGTGAAGGGAAAAAGGTAAAGTGACCAAAATGCTACTGCTCCGACGGCTGTGGCGGAAGGAGGTACTCACTGCATCTCTGCATTTGCCCTCTTGGTTTTGGAAACAGTCGAAGGCCAGGTCGCTCTGAACACCCAACCGATTCATTATCTGTAGCGGGGATAGAAGGTGTATAGGAATGATGAACATGCGTATACGCAATGACTGAGCCAACTGCTTCGCATTACCAAGAGCGATCAAGACTGGTCTTCTGATTCACAGTATCTCCTTTGCAGTGCAGCGAAACATTTCTGTTATAACACGCTTACAGTATATCCCCAAAACGTTTTTTTTGCAATCAATCATAGGGATGCCAATTACTTGACAGTGATGGGTTCAAGTCTGTTTCAAAAGCTATATTATTAACCAAGGAAGCCTTAGAAAGATGTTTTATTGAATAAAAAGTATTAAAAGGGCTTCTATTCAGTGGCATATATTTGAAGTTAAATAGCGACTGTTTTTTAGTGTAATATGTCAGCAGATCTATGAATCGCAGAACTCAGCAGGGCAGCAAAAAATAGGCCCAGAAAATGCATTTTGGTTGCCCAGGCTGTCTTCTTCAATAAAGGTAACCTACAGTTGACTTAGGTACAGCAATTTAACGCAATAATAGTTTTATTCTCTCAATGTTTCTTTCGACAATAGCAATGGTATTGAGGAAACAATCCTTCGGATTTGCAACCTCTGATACACTTCATCCTTTATGCAAAAAGCCGTAGGGACCTATCTTAAGAACATTACATTATTAGCTGTTTTCGAAGGGGTTAGTCTTTTGTACAGAAAAAGTAATGACCGATCCGAGGAATATCTCAAAAATCATTAGTGACCATGAACCTGGTAGATATATTTTGCAAAATAGACATGAAAATAGCCTACAGACACTACTTTATCCAACTAAAACAACAAGGTTTGTGAATGGAATTATTTCTGAAGTTCATACCATAGAGGTATGGGAAAGTAAGGCAAAAGGACTATGTAATCTACAGTAGGTTCAGGTTCCGTTTCCGACTCTGTGGAAAAGCTAGTATTCATGAGACGTGAATGGGCACCCAAAGGGCAAGTTTTAGCACCGCAGTAGCCAATAAGGCGATGTTTTTTGTCATTTTAAAGTGCTTATCTCAAGGTATTCTGTTCATGCCCATGGGTTCATGTCGCACCTCATTGCGTCCTGCAATGATTCGAGATGCTACACATGAAACAGGAGTCTTCAAGCAGCTTTCGCACGCCTGCCCTTGGGGTGACAGCACCGATCGGGACGTTCGCGCGAAATATCTAACACGTAGCACAACACAACGCTACACCAAATAACCTCGAGGTCAGTCAGTGTGACCTTATTCCCCGCAGTGGTATGTACGTGTTCATGCAACACGTCGTATGGATAATTGGGAGAGAGAGGTCAGCGACTCTACCTCTCCTAGTTTTACGGCTACAGCGATCTGCCTGCTGCGTCAGAGATGCACACGCGGTGATTGCCATACTACTCTTCTGGGAAGGAGCAAATTTATTGCAGGCGAAGCGACAACTGGCATGAACCGACCTTTTTTTATCACCACCTCTGTTGACCCTGGGCACATCCCTGACAAGTTCTGCTTGTGGTGACAAGATAATTGATAAAAGGAACGCAGCGAAAAGGTGTGACTGAGTTTTTAAGATCATGCTCAACTTTTGAATAATCCCAATCAATTGTTCTATCCAGAAAACTGAGGTAAAATTTTGAGTTGACCACAACATGGTAGTCATCTATCTAACCGCATTTCGTCCAATTGAAACAAAAAAAGTAAACACATTGAATTATTCGATAATTTAGGTATTAGAAGCGTTGAAGATTATTATTTCAATCCATGAAATCGAATGGAGTATCTGAAGACTTGTTAGCCTTACTTTGCCATCCAAGCAAGTTAAGCCATGAACCAACACTTTTGGACAGGTACTGTTTAGTAATGCAATGCTTGGAAAAAATTAGTGTAGGTTCAAAAATGTTCCATGTACAAAAGGACTTTTTAATGCTGATTCCTCTAATACTCTTTTAATGGACACAGTCTTGGTGAGTTGCCTTAATCCAAAGTAAAATATTTATCCCTGTCAAACAAAGCAAGGTTGACTAACATAGAAGGCTTTAACTGGATGTAGAGTAGGGCCGGTGTGTTAATGCCGGGACCCAAACTATTGAGAAGTTGTGAAAACAGTGCAGGGGTGTGCTTGACGCAGCATGATCTGCTTCGGTCAAAGATGAACCACCACCCACCCAGCTACAATTGTGTTTAAGTTCCAAGTTCACACACAAACCCACACACGCACGGTCCGTGTGCCAAATGAACACACGGTCTGAATTAAGACCATGCCTGCATGTGTGCATGTGTCTGCAGAGTAACAAAGGTAGAAGTGAATCAGAACTTCTACTGAATATCTATCTGAAGCTGCCGCACTTCCCAGTCCACTTGCCCAGTTAAATCGAAGCCGCCTTTCGAGGATATTGAAGACAGTGCGTTTGTGATTGGGTATGATTCACCGACGTGATGGAAACGGAAATTAATTTTCTCTCCACCCTAAAGTTTATTTAGGCAGACACGCTAGAGTTTTCAAATCCAATTTAAAAAATGCTTCTAAATGTAGATGATGATGATGCTGGAAGTGGAAGCGTGTGTTATCGTAATTTTATTACGAGGAGTCTATCTTACTGATTCCGCCTAAACTTGTTTAAAATTGACGTTGGTACTCCTTCGGATGGTTGATGGTCACGAAATCATTCCAATTCTTTTCACTTGCCTACATAGATGCGAGCTGTGAATAACATCAGTAAATTGAACTAGTAATGCTTCACTCACTTTTCGAGCCATTACTCATACAGTCGCCTCTCACTCTCTCGCCTGTGAGAGGAAAAGGAAAGAAGGCAAGTGCCTGATTACTTATCTTTCTCCAAATGACATGGAAGATGTGAGGTAAAGGGGTGAGAAAGAGGGGAAAAGAGGAAGAGGCCACACCCATCACATTATAACCACTATTGGCGTCACTGCAGCCACCCCTATGATAACTAGCGCCTACAACACGGAAAGCACCGCCGCTTCTGCCACGACAAATACTGTGCTGTTTTGAGAAGCATGCACATTCGCTGCCTTCACCGCATTTTCAAACCCATCCACCTTCCATCAAAAGGAGACAGAAGGATTTCAGCAACTGACAACTGTTAAGAAAGAATGTCATTCGGGAGGGGTTACAATGTCATCTATCGGTAAAAAAACTGATGCTGGAAGAATCAATGGGAAAGAAGTTTATTTAACGCTTGTTATGTTAACATTTGCTATTTTTCCTACTTCTTCGCTTTAGAATTACTGCCTAGAATCGGATGCTCACAGGACCAAAGGTGATTCCAAAAAGACCCAATCTTACAAACTTCAAATAACATACTACCCAGTTAAAGGTCTTGGAGATGCTTAGAAAAGAAAGAATCCGAGGTTCTTAATCCCATAGCTTGGCGATAGAAAACTACTTAATCACCCAACGGGAAAAAAGCACTAATATTAACGTCGCTTACAAACTATCCCCAACGTGGTTTACATGCGTAAGGGCCATGAATACTCTAAAGTAATAGCTCTTAGACGCGTGAATTTACACAAAACGTAGAAAAAACTGTACGAGTGTTATAAAGTAGGTACTTCCTACTTCCACTTTTGATATCGTGACAACGGCACGACTACCGGACATGCAGACAAGCCTCCTACGTGTATGAAAAATGAACCAACTTTTTACCTTAAATTTACTGAATATGATAAATATCCTCCCGTAATATCGAAAAAGATCTGGTCTGTTTGTTTTCTTGTCGGAATATTGAGTAAAGTACGAATTTATGATCAACGGGATTCAATCGGCAATAGCGCTGCGTAGCTAATGTGATAAATCAAAACTTTGAATGCGGTTTGGACACCTACTTTTGCTATTCAAGAAACGTATAGCTCTAGTCAAATGAATTGGAAGTAAAGAGCAATTTTACTAAAATCAGGTTTTCCATTATCTCTCCGCAATTATGCCAAGTTCCATTTGCTAAAGTGGAGACATTGCTTGCCTTTGTACGGTAGTGGTGGCCAAAGAATGATAATAGAAACCAAGTAAACGGGCCCAAAAATATTTAATAACCCCTCCAAGAGTGGAAGCTTTGGATGGTAAACGTAGCGAATAATGAAAAAAAACGTTGACATCCGAGCCAAAAATAACAAACATTTTCTTGAGTTACTCCAGATGTAGAGGAGGCATTGGCCAAAGCTAACCAATGGGAGTTAGCACAGCGGTTTTAAGAAGACAAACACACAAAGAGAAAGTGGAAAAACGAGCGCTCACTCAATGACTGACATTCCAGAGGGGTTTCAACGAAGATCGGCCAAGCATTTATCAGGACAAAGGAAATTGTTTAAATAGACAAAAAGCTTCACGTTACACTGGTAAGGGCTCTAAACAAATGTTGTGACACTTCTGTAGGCGCCTCTTATAATTTCTTATTACAACTACGGAAAATCATTAAATAAAAACGTTAATGTTGATTGCAGAATGCAGCAGAATTACCGAAAAAAAAGCCCTTAGCGCAGACTTGAAATAAGAATGGAGGGGAGAGCCCTTCTGATTCACTTAAAAAAGTCTTTTTTCGCAGTGGCAGAGATAAAACCGTCAGCCCCGGAGTTTTTTGAGCAGCCTTTTTTGTTTAGTCACTCGGTTGCAGTTAAAAGGAAGAAATCGGTGAGGTCTAACAGTCCAATTAGCAGCTGAGAATTTTTGCAGTGGTAAAACCTCAAAAGAAAAGCGATTCCCGGCGGGTTGTTGAATATACGCCCCTATGGATAAGTGCTAGGATCTGGGAGTAGGGTAGAGTTGGGCAGATGAACAAGCAAAAAAGCTTTATTTAACGCCAACTACGAAATATTTTCCTACACCAGGAAGCAAGGCCGTGTACTTTAGAAAATAGTGTTGGTTTCTACTTTGAGATAATTCAGAAAACCTCTAAAAAACAAGTCAACAACAATTTTACGCATATCAGCTATCCAGCTCTCCTTAAATTCACCGTTTTGAAGTAAGCTTGGTCAAGCCGGCACTACTTAAAGCAGGAAACTACATGAATTTGCTGTTTTTAGTCAGAGAGCTACATGCTGATGGTGTAACGGAGGCGTGAATCCCCACCTCGAAGGTGTAAATGTCGGGAGGAGGTGATGCTGCTGCTGTTGCCACATATCGTTGATTTAGCTTACATATTTGCTTACCTTCCTGTGGACAAATTAGTAGTCAACACAGTCACAATCACACAACCAGGAGGGATGGCGGTAATTGAAGTGTGACACGGCAGATGTCACACTACTGCTGAGGCTTATTTGCCAACCGCAACAACGCTGGCTGAGGCAGCGGCATAAGCGGCAACTGAGCAGCAAAAACAAGAAAACCAGAGGGCAATACAAGCACACACACAAATGCCGCGGTTCCTCACATTGACGCATATGATCCCCTTTTTTTAGTGATTTGCTAAAGGATCAAGAAATCCACTTTAGATGTGTGAAAACCGTAGAAATTCTAATCTAGTGCATTGAGACATTATATGGTATTTGATGTGATCACTGTTTGTAACCTTACCAGAGAAAAGCTAAACGTTTGCCCAGAAGGATGTTTGGTGATGGGACTGGGACAACAAAACCCTCTTGCTGGAAGATTAATAGCTGCAGAACCAGTATATTTAATTCAACTGATAAAATTGATAGTCTGTTTGAGAAGTCTAAAAAGGAACATTCAAGGAAAATTTGGAATGCCATAAAGCTTAGAAGTGTGTTACTAAACCTATTTCGAATAAGAATTCGGCATGCCAGTTTACACTTAACTAAAACTTCTGTGATGCGCCATTACACTAAAATTTCAACGAAAAACGCTAGTGGAAACAATACTTAGTGGAAGGGAACTGCTAGCTTGTAAGATACCCAAATTTGACCTATGCACACTAATGGGCACACAGCAAGTTTTTTCGTTTGATGACACTTCAAAGTGCGAAATTGTTTCAGTCGCCAATAAGGCAGCAAAATTACTATTTCTGGTTCCAGCCTACAACTAGGGAAAATTCAAAACTAAATCCCTCAGGGCAAATTCCATTTGATTCAGTTACCTTCCTTCCGACGCCTACATGATTAAGGATTATGCAAACTTTAAAACATTATCTTTGGTTTCTTGATAAAAGCAAAGAATAGTGCGAATTTCCGCCGAGTTTCCCCAAACACTGGTAATTAGAAACAGAAAGATGCATAGGACGCTGAATGTGCCTCCTAGAGAGGGGCCGAATCCGACTGCACAGTGTTTTGCTTGTGGCGGTCTTCCGCTCTGATAAGCTTAGAAGAGCCCTCAAAGGAAAAAAACAGAGTAGACAACAACAACAACTTAGGGCTTTGGCGGGACAGACAAAAAATGAGTAATTGTTTTGGAGAGGAAAAAGGATTTACACCCCTGCCCCAAATTCCCCTTGTTTATGATGAGACAAATGGAGGCTTCCTGTGAGACATGATCAAGTTTTGACCTGTCTAAATTCCGAAATCATTTACGGGGTAAAAGAGGGATATTAAATGCGGTCGGTTTTAAAAGCTAAGAAAATATTTTCTGTAAAATATTTTTGCATCAACAAATAAAGCCATTCAAGACTTCGCGATAAGAAGCAATAAATTAGGAAAAAAACCCGACCCAAAATTCATATCACAGCTTTTAAAAATTGGTCGGGAATTCAAAATGACGATTTCACCTAAAGAGTAGTAAGCTTTTTGGGGAGACACGAGGCGATAGTAATGAGCTACCTCCCGACAAAAGTTACCATCTAGAACTGGATAGCCATCCATTTAAAAGCACTTTGGAAGATAACAGAAATTTGGCATAAGAAGTAGAGATTGGTTCCACAATTTAGAAGGCACTCTAGAGCAACTTTTATTGAGGCTAGGCTGTGTAGTAGCTTAAAAAATGAGCTCTGGTTAATGCCTTGCTTGGGAAGAGGGTCAAGTCAAACGAAGGGTCAGTATTTGTAGATAGCAAATCCCAACCTAAATGAGGGGAATTGTTCTAGGGGCGCCCCACAAAAAAACAACCACCCACCATTGAATTAACACATGAGCCCAAGGGAATAGATATTAGTTTGATGATAATATAGCTGGCACCTGATCAACTTCGGTCTTATAAAGCTAAGCTCAGTGGAATTCTCAGATTTGGGAATCGGCGGGAGACTGTTTAGTCGGATGAATCGCAAATTCGGCCACTAGAAGCCTGCACAAATAGCAAACTTTTTAGGGCAGTTTCCAGCATGAGTAACTGTCCGGGAGGAAGACCGCTATTTAAACGACACACTTCAGCAAAACAGCGCTTTATGCCGACCCAAATGAAGCAACACCCTCGAGGTATGTTGGATCCAAATCCTAGTTTTCGGACCTCATAGAGTTTTCATTATCACTAGTCGAAGACAGACCAGTCATCAGCAAGTCAGGAAAGTTCTCAATTTCGGGATAAGGAATAACGCAAAGTGTGTGGAAGCAAATCGGCATAGCAATGGGCTAGCCGGATCAACCATCAAAACGACATTCAAGTGACAAACACCACTCCACCGAGTTTACTCAGTATGGCAAGCCGGATTAGAGTGAATGTGAACAGTGCAGACATCCCTGCAGCTTTATTTTCCACGAGACCGTCCATAAACTCAGGGGAAGAAAAGTTCTCTTTAAAGCAAAATTACTCAAAACCGTAAATCACATGAAGTGAAGTATAGCTTCTGATTAAACATTATACTTAAGTGCATCATTAAAAAAGCTTCATTGGAAACTAGCTAGCAAAAATCAAAAGGACTGGGTATTTTAAGTGCGAATTATGGATGAGGATAACCTAATAATCATTCCCAAACACAATTTATTAATTTCCTATAAGATAATTCGTGTCTTGACGAGAACGATGAAGTATTCTGCTCTTGAGAGCCCCAAGACCCGGCGGAACGGTCTTGTTTTCAAAAAAATTAGCACCAGAAAGGCAGCAAACTAGTAAGGAATTTCTCAACTCACCCTTTTGATAGCAGCATCATCAGGGTGCCCGAAGTACTGCAAACATATCGCCTTGCATTGGGCTCGCAGAAAGGCCCTCTGTTCAGCGTCAGAAACAGCTTCCAATCGCAACGCAATGAGAAGCATCAGGATCCAACGGAGCAAACTCAAAACCCACATTTGCGTTATCATGTATGTGAGTAATTAGTTTTGATGCTTTGTTAATGTAGGTATAGGCGTGTTATTCCAGAATAATGTATCGTAAACCTTCCAAACTCAGAGTGTGCATTCCCACGCACACTGGGACAAACAAAAAAGCAGCAGTGAGTTTTTACTACGAAAAATAACTCCTTCAACAGCGGATAAGTTTCTCCACATTCAAGCACGTGCAAGAGCAACTCGAGGTGTGATTGGTCGGAAATGGAAGCCAATGTGACGCAAGCTCTCATCTGGTTGGTCCAAATGGAAAAGGGGAGATGAGTGGTTATGGTAGTGGATGTGTGCTGCTACTCCATTAACTACATCAACATGTTTAACGTCGTCGGCGTCTCTGTCGTTTGGGTGTCTGTGGGTAATTGTAGGTGAATTACTAGCAAGTTTTTGTACTGTTTGAAAATATTGCTTCGTGAAATCAGCGATGAATCATTAATGGACATTTGCAAAACTAGTCAAGAGAAATCCTCGAATCTTAAAATTAATTACTGAAAATCACTGGGAATAGCAATGAATGCTGTTTAGAAGGGTTGGAGGATGTAGATTTCGGAAACGTTATCGTGATGGTGTTCTGGAGATCAGGTTCGGCCCAAGGCTACTCTCCATTCCTAAGGCGCATCCTGTAATGCGTAACTTCCTCTCTTTGACCCTTTTTCAACATTTTGAACTTGGACAAACTATGTTGCAACCATGTATTCTCGCATCTTGATTTTTAGTTTTAAAACGGTGAACGATTTTTTGTGACTCTATCGGTGGAAGGAAAGGAAGGTTGCGTTTTGAAGAGTTACAATAAAAGATTAAATTCACTAGCTCAGTGCTCAAATTTGGCAGGATTCCAGCCTCCATTTATGCAATTGCATCACTGACGCAAAACTAGCTTTAACACCTCTAAATACCACTGTGCGAAAGACAGGAATAGACATTTTTACCTTAACTTGGATAGCCCATGGCTTTATAGTTAGATTATGTGTACCAATTATTTACTGCGGCTGGCAAGTAAGCTCGCTCCACCACATTCGTGGTTTATGTCTGTTAAATGCTCAAAACGAGTCGGAGAAGGGATAAAGGGATGCAACATTGTGCTGAAAACGTTGTTAAATCTTGATGTAAGCTGCTATTCTACCAATAATATGTAGTTCAAAACAAATCGACGGGATAAAGACCGGCAGATAGGTAGCGTAAGATCCATCAACTAATATTATACGGGGATTTAAGCCAAAATCAATCATGTACTCAAAAAAATTGACTGAAAAAAAAAGCAAAGGTGGTGATTTCCCCCAAATCACATATTTTTTGGGTTTCGTGAAACTTCTAGGCCATCAGTCAGGCTTCATCTAGAAGAGGTAGCTGCAGATATCCGATTCTAACACACGATTTCCCCATCACCTCTTCCATGGGACTAGTAAATTGGCATGGTCTACATTATCAATTAGAATTTATATCACCTCCCAAAGCACCTTTTGCACCAGATTTTAGACGTAACAGGCCAAGATGCAACTTTGTATTTAAGTGTTGTAAATTTTGCGAATTTGGTGGACCTTAACCTGGGAGTAGTAAGCGTTCACGTATCGAGTTTTGAATCGCTCTGCTAACTTCCTACTCCCCAGATTATGCTAAATAACTTTTTCATTTAATCAAAGGTCATTTGATGGTAAATAGGGAAACGCAAACTGATGTACTCAAACGAAAATCTCGTAATAAACTCAACATCTTTTCTCTTACAAATAATGCTCTCTTGTTCTACTTTGTACTAATTCAAGATAAAGTTATAACGGCAGTTGTTTATTTCCCTTCTTTGTTTGGGTTGAAGGTGGAGACAGTTGGTCTGACTTTTAGAGAAGAAAGAAGTAGGAAAGCGTAACTACTACAAGTAATGTTGTCATCACAGGTCTAGACGGCAGCCAGGCGATATGCAAACGCACAAACCCACTTTTTCACTCTGCTACACAAGGAGGCGAATTCTCAACAGCTAGAGATGGTTTGGTTAAACCGGGCTTCAAAAATAGTTAAAGGTGGTCTGCCACCGAAACACAATTTGTGTCGAAATTGGGAGGGGGACAGGGGAGGTGATAGTGAATTTGTTAATCAGGCAGTCGCCCCTGCCTGCAAGAGATTGGCGTCTGCGTCGTCCAGTTGACTAATTTGTTTACCCCCGTTCGATCAGTGCAGTCCAGACCTCAAACTGCCGCCTCTCTCCTCGCCTTTGTTTCCCCTACGGCACCATAAATCAAGCTCAGATATTCAGCTGTGCATCCAGAACCCGTTGGCTGCTAAGGCGCAATGAGAGATGGTCTATACAAGCAACCGGCCGAAGGATATGGAATTCTTATTTACCCAAAGACTGGCGACTCAAAGGGGAAAGTGAAAGCCTGGAATTAAGCTAAGTACACTCATCTAAATTTAGATGAGGGAGGTTTGGTATTTATTGCTTTACAACAAAGGAATGGAACTTACTCAAATTCGTTAAGTCAGCAGCATATTGTTACATAGTGGAATATTTCATCTTTGCCTGGATTTCAGTTTATCAAGGGAAACTTAACAACACAAAGTGACCATAACCACAATAGGTGGGAAAGTATTTACACAAGATGTTTTTCTTTACAAAACCGTATGGAAATGTGACTAAGCTTAATGAGAGCGACTTACACCGGCCATATTACATTGGAAATAAATAATAGTCTATTTCTACGCATAAAATGTGCTTCAATTTTCTCTTGGAGAAACCCTGCACACTGATTGCACGCAAGGTTTCTCTTCCCGGACAAAAGAACATACATAAGAGTATGAGATGATGGGCGGTTGAGATAAGCACTTTGTTGGCAGAACTATTTCCTACGAATTGGTTACACCTCGCCAGCAAGCAGTAAATCAGCTCGTTATGAGTTGTGGCTTTATTTGAAGTCGCAAATGCGCAAATACATGGATACTTTTGACGATTTTATGACGAAATGTGCAAACATATATACAAGACGAGCAGTTGGACATGTTTGAACATTCAAAGTGCCTCATTCTTAGGTCACATGTGTCAGTATATAAGTGTGAATTGAAAATCGACCTGATTTGCTTTCTAGCTAATCTGATCTCAAATTTACACTTTTCCAATTTGGGCTTCTCTTCGTTTCGTAAGTTGCATTAACACATCCACCACCGGAATTTAAGAGGAAATTTAACCACCTCCACTCCATTTCTTAGCCAATTTGAGTATCACCCAATACCTAAAAATTTCAACTGCGCTCAGACCAAGTATATTTCACAACTACTTCATTGATTTCAGGGAAGCAGTTCTACCTGTGACATCATTTAGTACTAACTGTTAGGGAACACACTTTCTGACAAGATCGGAGTGTCCATATGGGTGAAAATGATAGCAAAATGATTCATTTGGTAGTATCACAAGGGCAATGAATGAGTATTTTTTAGCCGTACATACACAATTCCTCCCTTATCCCACTTAGTATGGGTCACATTTTCAGACTGTTTCTGCCTCATTTAGATGTCCTCGTTGATAGATTACACATTATTCGATCAGCGTTGAAGAATGCATTACTTTGTTCTCTGACTGATTCACAGACGTTTAAGACAGTGATTCAAATGCTATATACGCCTCACAATATGTGTATATAGTTGCAGATCTAGCTCAGAAGTTTTCGTGATTTTTACTATCCCCACAGAATGCGCTTCTATTCCGGAACCCGTCCCTTATGATGTTAAATATAAAAACTAATATTACACGGGATAATGAACACTTCCATCGTAAAACACAATGCTTCTTTTGAACTCCTTTTCAATAATACTTTAAAATTGATATTTAGGACGACTGATAAAAAATCCGCTTTCGACCGCTGAATTTTATCTTATTACTTTATTTCTCACAAGCAGAGATAGCAAACCTCCTGCAATAAAGAGAGCAATAATATTTAGGATTCTATGCTAAAATGGGTTTATAGCTTTAGGAATTATCGAATTTAAGTAAAAATAAGTAAATACTCCTACTTAGTGTTCGCTAAAAGAGTGAAGATTTAACTACTAGGAAGCTGGTGCTTGGAATAAATAATTACGATTAAACATAATTTTAAAAGGACTTTTCCTATTCTCAATATTTTAGAGCTTTCCAATGGTCTTAGCGTAATTCACCCTTGGCCAAATCATCGGCGATTCACGCGGCCACCACCTTCGCCCAGCCAGAGCCGCCACCTATAATTGCAAAAAACGACGCGTGTTTTTGGAAATATGGCTTTAAAAGGAGAGCCTTTACAACTTTGTTTACTAGAAGGATAGACTGGCAGTGTATCTATATCATTACCTGCATTAATCAGAATCGCGTAGCAAGTGTTTAAGAAAATCCTACGGTACTATATTCTCTTATCTACACTTTTTTCGCCTCACAACATTACTCGGAAAGATTCGATAATATTATTAGTTTGCCCAAGCATTTTCAGTAAAATGGGTAACTGCAACCCCAGATAAATATGTAAAATATGTTGGTTTATTTGACATTCTAACAAACAGAATTGTTAATTATGAAGCTAACGGTGTACAAATTATTAGGAGTTTTTGTTTCACATTACACTTTACTTACGCTCCTTGTAAGGCTGTTTTAAAATAGCACATTAGAGGTAAAAATACTAAATAAAGTAATCCATCTGCAGTAGCACTTAGTCCCACATAATCGGATGTCAAAATTCTATTAATTTTTACTGGATTTAGGGAATTGTCTACCTTTTCAAAGTGCTACAAGCACACTTTTCATACCTTTTTATGATAGGCTTTGCTGATAAAACTCCTCTGTCAACAAAATAATTATGTGGTGAAAAGAGGCTGAGTTCATGTGAACTGGGATCCAGTTATCACAAATTAGCTATGGTGTCTATTCCCTACGATAAAGGCTGTAGAAGTACGCGAATTCCCTGTGGTGAATAGAATGGCATAGAATA